GGTAGTTTAATAAGCAATTACTATAATTACTGAATAGTAAATGTAACATCAATTTATTTAAAGCATTTGAAATCAATATAAAAGTAGTTCAAATAGCCCTTTCATTATGAAGATCCGTAGATATAATACCTAAAAAAGCTAAAGCTAAACGAATTACTTGATAACAATGCCTAATAAAGTCTGATTAAAGTAATACATTAGGCCAGGCATGGTATCCAACACCTGTAATTCCAGCACTCTGAGAAGCTGACGCGGAAAAATCCAAATTTCAAATCCAGCCTGGGCAATTTAGCAACTTAAATAAAAAAAGGCTGCAGATGTAGCCCAGTACAAGGCGCTGGCTTTAATCTCCAGTACTATAGGGCATAGAGGGGGCAGGTTTACATATTAGAAACTAACAAATCTCTCAAACTGAGTAGTGCGCATGTAGATATTCATTTTATTATTCTTTAAATTGAATATAAAATTATATTTTTGCATACTTTTTTGGGTAGTATGTTTCGGAACTCAGAAAGATAGCCAGTGGAAACAACAAAAACATGGCAGAATACAGGTAACTAGACAGTTTTGGAGCATAGCCTTTTCTAATCATCCAGCTATATGCTGGGTCTCGCAGTTCTAGCGATATCAGAGGACTGGAACTTTACTTCACTCTCCAATTTAACCCTCCTGCCCCTGGTTCTGGGGACTGAATCCAGTCTTTGCAGTAAACTACGACCCCAACTTCCCTCTTTTTGAGACATGGCCTTGCTAAGTCACTATATTGCTCAGGCTGGGCTCAACCTTACAATCCTTCTGCCTTGTCTCCCAGAGAGCTGGGATTACAGGCATGCTCCACTGCAACTGGCTTCTAATCTACATGTATATGAAGCTCCCTAGAGTCCCTCCAGAAAATGTATTCTGATAACTTAATGAATGGGCTAATACATAAAGCTGTTTGATTGAAGCGTATATGGGTAGAAATGTGTCCATTCTTTGAGAATTCTGTGTGTGTGTGTGTGTGTGTGTGTGTGTGTGGTTTGTGTGTATGTGCATGTACACACATGTGTATGTGGTGCTCAGTGGAAACACAGGATCTCCACATTGAGCTTCATTCTCAACCATTTTTGTATTTTTTGAGACAAGGGCTCACTAAATTCTAAACTGTCCAAGATGAGCTTGAATTTGCAAATCTTCTGTCTCAGTCTCCCAGAGCACTGGGATTATAGGGAGGCACCAACAAGCCCATCTTCCATCCTTTGACAATTCTTGAAAACATTTTTTTTTTTTATACCAGAGATCAAACTCAGGCTCTTGCACTTGTAAGGCAGACATGGTGCCACTGAGCTAAGTTCCTGGCCCTTGAACACAGTTATTTTACTACATCTTAAAAAACATTATTCTGAAGTAGATTAATAGCAAAGGTTAGGAATCACTTTGTAATAATATTTAGACGACAGTAGGAAATATTAAATAATGATATTAAAAGACTTGAGATAGTAATTTGCAGTTTACAGAGGACCCTCAAGTTATAATCAGCCTGACATATGAACAAGGAGTTAATTAGGTTAATGGAAGTTTCATCTGCCTGTTACTTACACTACATATGTACCCAGGTAAACATCCAGATCTCAGCTGTAGTGACTTACAACTAACTTGAGTTACAATCAGTCCTCAGGAACCGATCAAGTTTTTAAGTCAAGGGTCCACTGTAATTTCTACTGAAGTGACATATACTTGCTTAGTATTACTGAGATGGGAGCAGAGTGATGCTTTCAGAATGTCCAGAAATGACGTTGGCTAGAGGCCTGAGATGGGACAGTGAAAAGCCTGCCTACAAAGAAAAACTGGAGGGCTACTTTGGAATATTAAATTTCACACACAAAAATAATCAAGAACACGTTTGTGGAAATTTTTTCAATTCTTGTGAAGTATTTGAAACCTGAGAAAAATGGGATAACTAACACATAGATTTAGAAAGACTTCCAAGGACATTAAATAAAATGAACATAAAGTTAGTGAAAGATTCCAATGATATTATTTCCTAATCAACTAAAATTAGTTGAAAATCTTTCGATCTACATATATTTGTTACTAGAGGTATACAACATTATCTTTCCCCTCATATAGATTATACAGACTAACGTGGGATTAAATAAGTACATAGCATACAAAAGAAGTAATCAATTCTGTATTAGAGGATATCAGGAAATGTTTCAAAGAGAAGATACTTCATTTTAGATCTCTTTCTCAAAATTCCTCAGTCATATTTCTAATTTAAAGATCTATCATTGCCTTAATGTATTTATCAAAGATCCAACAATGTTTTTTATCCTCAAATGCTCACCCTCACCAAAAACTAACATTTCTAAACAATTGCGTTTTGTCACAGTGAACAACAGCATTGTATAAAGACAAACAAAATAGCATTGTTTTGCTTTCCTCTAAAATGCTTAAGTTTTCAGAGGACACATTTTTGTCAGTGTTAGTAAAAGTGATTATTTAGTTCCTCTTGCGGCCTTCTGAATATTCCATATATCTAAAGGCTTCATATAAACATGAGTTTTTCCACATATTTTCAGGGCAGGATAGATTAAAAGATTCAAATGTTCTCTCAACAAGAGAGAAAAGTTTTAACCGTGCTCTCTTTATCACATGCAATTCACTATTCTCCAAGAGTTGCTGATTGACTCGTGCTGTCTTCATGGCTGTCTCTGAGTCACAAATCACTTGAGTGTTTGTATAGAGAAAATCTGCCACTTCCTTTATAGATGCAAATAAATTTTATTCCATCCCTAACTTTGAAGGAAGAAGTAACAAAAATCAGGCTTCTTAAATTCCAGTACAATATTTATCTTTGAAAAAAACCTAAAGAAAAACAAAAAGTAAATCTTGAAATAGGCAACATCATGAATCATCTGAACTATTTTGATTAATTTTTATTCCTTGTTTCTTTTCTTTTCACCGTCTATAGTGTAAAGGGTACCTTTTTCCAGGGAAAACTTTGAAAGAAACAGCCTGTTCTTATTTGTGTAAAATAATTCAGTTGTTTCTTTGAAAGAAAGCCCTTAAATCCCTCCAATCTATGTATATCGTGGCTGGTCCCCAACAATAACAACAAAGTAATAACCAAGCTTCTAATTTCTTGTGACCAAATACTATACTGAGAAATTGTACAGCATATAGAGAAATAAATCTCAGAATCAAAATAATTAGTTTATTTTTAATTTCTTAGCAGCAAGAAGTTAATACAATGTTAGGATAATATTTCATTTTGGTTGGAATAACCTGTAATCATTATAGTTCAGTTCTGGATCAAATATAGCAGTTTAATTCTTATGAAATATTTTCTTATGAAATATTTAATTCTTATGAAACTATATACACAATTCTAAAGAGCAAGAAGTCTTTACTAGATTCTACTTCAAACTCTATTCCCCATTTAAAGGTTATTGAGAGTCTAGATTTGTGGATAAAATAAAACAGTAATAGTATTATCATTTATAGTGCTCTACATTTTCAAGCACCTTAATAACATTCACTATTTTTTTAATGAGTTTGTTGTGGAGGTGTCAGCAAGAGGGAGGGCAACCTTTCCTACTGAAGAGAGTAATCAGCTGTGATCGAGCTGTGGAAAGTACATGATATCACATCCCATGTCCACTCTGTGGGTATGCGTAAGACACTGTACAACACCCAGCCCTGAGACTGTCTACAAAAAGTAACATCTAAGATTGTTCTATGCAAGACTCAGTACAGATCTTTTGCCAAAATGAACCCAAAAGCAGATCTGTGGGCTGAGAATTTAGCTGAGTGGTTCTGCCACCTGCCTTGTAAGTCAAAGGTTCTGAGTTTGATACCCGGCACAAAAAAAAAAAAAAAAAAAATCCCAAAGCAGATTTGTAAAAGCCATGCCTCTAGAGTAGCACTGGTAATAAACAGAGTTAAATAAAATAGTAATTGATTTCAATTATGCTCTTGAATTGAGCTCAAAAGACCAATTCATCTACACTTTAAACATAGTACTGAGCTTTTGAGAATAGCAAGAGGCCCTGTAAGCCATTAACTAAGCTATAACCAGTTGCCTGGTAGACTAACTATATCCAATTAAGTTTTTGTGTACCCCTTACTTGCATTTTTCTGTAAATGCTAATTGATCATGTTGGTATGTTGTTGAGTAGAGTTCTCAGAATCAGCTCTTTCTGGGAGATACCTGATCCACAAATCACTTTTGTTTTAATTTGTTTTGATTTTTCTTTATTCAAACTCTACTTGATATAACTGGCCTAAGGAATTTTCCTATTAATAACAGGAAGGGACAGTCCATGGCGGACTTTGTTGGTATCACTGTCTCGGGCAGCGTCCCACTATATAGCTCAGGCTGGCCTCAAACTCACTGCGATCCTCCTGCCTCAGCTCCCAAGCCCCAGCCTGGAATTACAGGCCCGCGCCACCACATCTGCCTTGGTGAACTTTGTTTACTATTTGAAACGGCAGCTTAGCCCACTTCAGCCAGACAAAACTTGATACAGTGACAAAATAAATGTGTTACAAAAGAGAGATCTCAATGTCAGCATAGATATAGGTAAGGATTAGTTGTTGTATTGGGACTGGAAGGGTTAAGGCATTAAAATAAAACTGACCAGTGAAGCTTCCATTTTAGATTAGATTAAGTAAATCTCCATCAAGTTGGGTATCTTACCCAGCAAATACCTTAAAATTCTTAGAATCAATAGTGATGATTATGTTCTACTCCCAACTTGCTCATTTTAATCCTAGGAAAAATCAGAAAACTGACGGTATCTTTCTCTTTGTACTGGATACTTTAGTTGCTTAAAGTAAGTGTGTAGCAAACATAGAAAATGTTTAAGACTTAAGCAAATCTGCTCCCATTTTTTTTTTGCCTTCACCATCTCTTTTTTTGCTTTTTTAACTGAATCATTTTGTACACTACCTTAAATCTTTTCTGAAACAAGAGAATTAAAATTAAATAATTTTAAAAATAAAAATGAAAGTAGTACCTTTATATCAAAATTACAATCAAGTCTTCTAATTAACACGATGAAAGTGCCAGATGAATTGTCTTTTACTGGTGGAGGTACTATGGGTTCACAAGCATTCTCTGGTTTTGAATTAATCAAAAAACCCTGAAAAAGAATTAGTAATAAAGTTATTGCTCTGTTTCACTTAATGAATCAACTTACTGCTGTATACATCTTTGCTTTATGTGTTTCACATTATGCTGTATGTATTATTTGGCAACTATAACTGTTCACAATCTCAGAGCTTCTAAAGTAGTATTTGGTTTCATAAGCATTCAGTTCTTTAAAATAAGTTCCAATATTAATTTTTCTTTTTCTTTTTAATCACACATGGGACAATCATGCAAAAAGACAACCACTATCAACATGTTGTTGTATTTCTCCGCAATAACTGACATTCCTAAACCAAGAATATCTTTTTTTTTCCACAGTACAAGGGACTGAACACAGGACCTTCACCCTGAGTCATAGCCCCAATCCTTTTCTATATTTTATAAAGAGAGGGTCTTGCCAGCCTGAACTACACAGTGAGACCTTGCTTCAAAAAACAAAAACAAAAAAGACACCATCCCCATCATTTTAGAGATGTTAAACTGTGGCAATAAAAATGTAGATTGGAGCCAATGAAACACAGTACAAACAAAAAGAATCTACAAGTGTGAATGGGAAACAATTTCTCTTTTTTAATCATTTCTGTATTGTTGAATCTATTATAACACACCCATATTATTTTTAAACTTAAGAAAACATAAAAATCAAATCCAGATAAGCTAAAACTCCTCAAAACAAACTTTTTGCCCTAAATTGATTGAATTTAAAAAGGTACTAAAGTATTAAATGCCTTTCCTATGGAATGATTCTAAAATGAGTACCTTACTAAAGTAGCTTACTAATTCCTATCCTTCCCTCAGAGGTGATTTACTTAAAACTAAATACAAATTTTCCTTATTTCATCCACAAAGCCTACCAAGCAGCATGATGAACTTTGTCAATTAATTTGACAAAACTCTTGTCTCTAAACTAAGAATAGCCTAGTTTGATCCCTGGTACCAAAAAAAAAAAGTCTTACATTATTGCCAGGGATTTAGCTCAGTAGTTCCACCACCTGCCTTGCAAGGGCAAGGGCCCAAGTTTGATCCCCCATATAAAAAAAAACAAAGTAAAAAACTTAGACTAGCCAAGATGGTGTTGCCCTGTCACTCTTGGGGTCACTCCTTTCTTATTAAAATGATGCTTGTTCTACAATCAAAGATCCTCTTCATCCATGCTTCTGACAGGGGCTCTTTATGCTAATATATAAGAACTCTAAGAAAGCTACCAACGTCTAGGAGACTCAGAGACCAACTTTCTTCTCTTTGTTACTGTAATCCTCCAACAATTAAACTGGACGCTGGCAGAATGCCATTTAATATGATCAGACATTCAGTTAAATGTATAATACATTTATGATATATAAATATGCTGATTTTCCTTGAAAAGCTTTCAGGACTATAATACACATAAAGCAAAGAGCAAAAAACATAATTTTGAGTTTGCTGAGTTTTAACAAATTGCGCACATCTTTATCAGGAAATAGAACATTAGTAATTGCTGTAGTCAGGATTTGTAAAGTAATAGATTTAATACAAGACACATAATTTATAGGATTATAATATTCACCTCAAAAGTCAAATGCAGAGTGGTGCAAAAGATCTGGCCACACACCAGACACCTGAAGAATCCACCCAAGGGCCTGGATCCCATAACAATGTCCACCACGAGCCCAGCCAAATGTGTAAAGCCCATAGCGATGTCCTCCATGAGTCCAGCCAGGGGCTGAGAGCCCACAGCAACTAGCTGCAGCGAGCTTCTCCAGGAAAATCAACACATACAAATGTCCCCTCCGGTTCTCTTTTTATGCTGTTGGCAACAATTCTTAGGTGGGTCTTCCACACCCAGCACTACGATGACTCGTTCAGCCTGCGTTCCAGTGTGACCACTAGTGAATCCACCACAGTAATGATCCAGAAACTTCCTCTATTCTGCCGTCAGTCATTATTCCCATTCCATCCCAATGACACTACCTGGGTTTCTGAGCACTTAACTGGGCTTTAGCTAATTTACAGTTGTCATAAACAGAACCATGACAATCACTGCAGCAGTGGCGAGCAATAATCCCATTGCTGAGCATGGCACTCAGAGTTGTGTGTCGGGCATTATGTACTTTTAATATACTAATTCAGTTCATCTCTGCAGCAACTATGAACTTATTAGTTCATTCCCATTTTACAGGTGAGAAACTAAGTCACAAAAAGGTAACTTTCCAAGGTTACACCACACAGCTAGCACGCAATCCTACAGTCAACTTCCAGGACCTATATTCCCAATCATTATGCTGTACTGTCTTAAGACTAAAGAAAGCAAAACAAAACAAAACAAACAAACAAACAAACAAAAAAACTAGGTGAGGAACAAAATGAGCAACAAGAAGAGAAATGAGTATTTATAAAAACAAACCAAAATGTTTGTCTGAAAGATAATTAAAGTTGATTCCAAAATTTGAGAAAGAGTAATTCAAAAGACGATGTCAGTAGGACCTTTCTGTCATATTTTTTATCTTCAAAAAGATAAAAAACAGTTAAATTAAGCAGCCTTTGTTATCAACTAAAGGTTTCTAATATGAGACTGACTTTGAGATAGTTCTTGCTAAATTACCTAAGCTGACTTCACACTTGCAATTCTCCTGTTTAAGCCTCCTATTTAGCTAGGATTATAGGTAAAAATCACCACACAGGGCCCAGACACATTTATTTATTTCAACAACTCTCTAGAATATTAAAAAATACCCCCAGGACCAGGGATTTGGCTCAGTGGTTCCTGCCTGCCTTATTTCAACAACTCTCTAGAATATTAAAAAATACCCCCAGGACCAGGGATTTGGCTCAGTGGTTCCACTGCCTGCCTCGCAAGTGCAAGAGCCCGAGTTTGAGTCCCATACCAAAAAAAAAACAAAACAAAACACCCAACCTGTGTGCACTTCCCCCTCCCTGGTACTGAGGATCAAACTCTGGACCTTGTGCTCACCAGGCAGACACACCACGACTGAGCTATATCCCCAGCCCCTTTCTTTTCTCTATTTATTGGATCATTCTAAAAAATCTGCCAATAACTTTCATACACAGAGCACATTTCATTTCTTTTCTACAAATATTTGCAGATGATTCTTCTCTTACACATTTTTAAAAATCCTATAGGGACTGGGGATGTAATTCAGTAGCAGAGTATGAGCTTTGTATGCTTCAGCCCCTAGGTTTGATCCCAGCACACACACACACACACACACACACACACACACACACATACACACACACGCCTTTACACTTCACTCTGATAATATTAAGTTCTTTTAACACTGTGATACACTTGATCATTCCATGAGGGTTCTGCTTAAGTAGTAGGATGGATAAATAAGACTGAGTTCCATCCAACCAGTTTGTATCTGCTAAGGATTAACAGACCTAATACGATACAGTACACACTGCATGTGATACATCTGTAGAGAATGCAGTAGTTCTGATTGTGGAGGCCCTAGCAGAAAAAATCATATACGACTTGGTCATTAACAATTTACTGTGTATGTTTCAGTTTAGTGACAAAAACTAACCAAACTATTGTTAGTTGAAACAGGAACTATCACTTTTCAAACTGTTCTAGATATCACATGTCTATTGATACATTGTAAAACTTAATCAGGTTTCTGGCAAACACATCACAGTCATTTTAAAATATTTTTGACATATGCTACTAGCTGTAGTTCTCCTATCTTTTAAGAAAAAATAGTATATGAATTATTTCAAACTTCATACCCACCTGCAAATTTTATAGCTATATTTTACATGCCTTTCTGTATATCACTGAGCAATGAATATAGAAATTTGAAAGTATATAATAGCTTTAAAGTAAGTCTTTAATGGAATTAAAAAGTTGTTTAATTTCTTCACAAATTAGACCACACATTTGTAGTGTCTCAAAGTTACATCTCCCTTTGTATACTGTTAGATTTATCCCAGTAACTTCTAGTTTTCTTAATAAGTTAAATTTTAGATTTTAATAAAAGATTATTTTAAGATATAATTCTTGAAAGCCTACTAATAATTCAAAAGCATTAAAAGATTACTTTAAAATATAAAGTTAGCAGTGTAAGTTAGGCCAACTATATAATTTTTTAAATTATTATTTCTGAAAAAGTAAAATAAGCACTAGAAATAAGTTTCATATTAATGTTCCAAGAACATAACAGATTATCAATAAAAAATCCCCAGACTATTATACTTAAATTCAATGAGATTAAAAAAGAAAAAAGAGGAAAATATTCACAGTGTCAATATGCAACTCTAAAATCACTCACCTTAATAACTTCCTCAAGTGAAAGTTTTCTGAGTAATTTGTTTTAAAGGAATTTGATAATTAGGATTTATCTATTACTAAGGTAACATAGTGATGGGCTCGTGATGGAACAACAGGGAGTTGTTTTACCCTCTTCCCTTAAACAACTAGAAAACCAAAAACATATGTAACATCAGTTTTCAAACACTGGGCAATAGTGCAGGCAGGACAAAGATTTGTATGAAGAGAAAAACAAATGAGATGACCCTTACAACACGAACTTCAATTTACTGGTGAAAGATCCCAAGTCTTACAACCAGGCAGAGGAACCCAAAACAGACTAGAAGTCTCACTGAGCTGAGGAGACAAAGGCCAAGGTAACTGGATTTTCTGGGGCAGCATACTGAAAAAGATGGAGCTGTAAAGAGGAAAAGGGCACTCCCGATAGACGCAAAGGGGTCCACTCAAGCCTCTGACTGAATAGTGATGTGCATGTGTATGTGAAAAAACTACCCAAACTAAGGAAGGAACCAACTGGAAAGGAATAAACAGAACAATACCTGGAGCTCACACCAGGCTGGGTATAGTTCATGATCCCACCAGAGTTGAAAAACTTCCCAAAAACAGAGCGTCTAGTAAGGCCTCAAAAGGGAAGCGAACAAAATTAACCTTAAACATTTGAAATAAAGTAGAAAGTTCCTACTAGTGTTAAATACAGATTTATTGTAAAGATTTACATAGATATATTTGTGAACATTCATCTACAAAATATATACCACATATCCTAGAAAACAGGTCCAAAATATTATATGCCAATATATTAATAATGACTGTGAAAATATAATCATCTGTGATTTTTACTTTCTTCCTCATACCTTTTTGTATGTGTGTACTGAAGATTAAGCTCAGGGTCACATGCATATCTTCTGAGTACATTACCATTTTCAAATGACAGCAAATGACTTTTATGATAATAAATAATAGTAAGAAATGTTTTGACTCTATAAATATAGAACAATCCCATTTAATTTGTTGTACCTTTACCATATTACTATTTTCTTACCTTTAAACCTTCAGCTGGAAGTCTATAACCAAATCTTGCTGGAAGATCATCAAATGTCTGAGATGCATTTTCAAAATTATACTAAATGTAAAATTAAAAATAATCAAGTTAAACCCAATTTACATGACATTAAAATTATTTAAAATTTTTAAATTTTAAAACATTAAAATGTATTAAATTATATAAATTATCATTTTCATAATCCTGATTTATTAATGTAGCTTATCATAATAAACCAAATTTATAAATGTATATCCAGTAAAACAGCAAGTACTATATATAATTTGTAACACAAATGCTTAAATTTGATTTTTATTTCATATGTTATTATCAAACAGCAATAATAATTCTGTAACACTAAACAACCTGTTTATTTGAGTTTTACACAAATAATGTCCTAACCAGGCATTTTCTATTACATACCATTTTTTCAGAAGAGTTCTACTTTATTTTCTCTATCTTTTAAGGGTTTGATTTAATATAAAAGAGTTATAGGAGTTATGTCTCTATGAAAAATGACTTTTCCCCAGGGGAAGAAGCAACATCAAATCATACTTTTAAGGCTTTACTGATTTTGATATAAACTAAATATGTTTATCCACAACAGAATGAAAAGATTAAACTGAATGAAATATATACACAGAGAAAGGTGAAGATATTTAAACTCTTTAACAACTTTCCTCCCCCAATACACTGATTCGCATCCTATAGTGTTTATCAGTCTTTTGCTTAAAGCAAACAACATTCTCTGTGCTTTTAGAAGATAATACTAATGATATAATTGTAAGGGGAGTTCACTGCATCATTTAATAATGTTCAATCTGCTACATAGAGAACAAGAAAAAAGGAAGATAGGTGAAACTAAGTATAGATAGTAACCAACTAAATTTTGGTTAGATGAAAACTGTGATATATTAGAAGGTAAGATAGTTGTGCATAACCTGTAGACCATAAATAGAAAAACCCCCAAAAAAATTTTAATATAAATTAAAAGGATGGAACAAAGTAAGAGTATTACCCAATACTGACTGTAACATTGATAGAAAAGGATGGACTGAAGAAGTAAACATTAAATATTTACAAAGCATAGATTAGATGACACATCCAAATTAACAGTTGTGTCATCCCAAACACCTACTGATGAGTCCCATTGTAGCATTTCCTGGCATCTGCTAAAAGCATCAAGTTAAAGAGCTCCACAATTTAACAAAAAATGTCTAAGTCTCTCTTAAGAGCAAGTCTTCCTGGTTCACCCTCAACTCGTACTGGTAACCACACTGTAGCAGCAGAAACTCTTCCTTCTGTAGAGGAAGCAGCAGAAACTCAACAAACTACACATAGGATTCAGTAGCACCCCCTTGCATCATACTGAAACCCTCTAATGTCTTCACATGCCTTCTTTTATCTTTGTTTCTCACTGTATGATTGCAATTAATTCAACAAAGCTGTGATTCAGCATCTGAATTCGATCCTGAACCTATTCATTCTGTGAAAATCAGTATGGCAATATACTTGAACACCATCAAGTTTATGTGGTGATTGTTTCAGGTTAATTTCTCATTGAAATAATAATTTATATTTGCAGTTTTGTTCTGTTGTTTACAAAGTGCTTTAGAGCCATCAAGTGCTTTTAAATCTACTACTACAATTTATTATTTAATCTCTTAAAGTATCTTTCAATTAAAGTTAATTAACTATGATCAACTTCATATTGAACATGAGGTTATTTAACTTCTTCCATTCAAAGACAACACTACAAAATACAGAAACTGATCTAGATATATGGAGATAGACAAAGGAAAAACTAAAGTGCACAATAAATCTAATGCACTTGAATCATCGCTAAACCATCTTCCCGCTCCAATTCATAGAAAATTTGTCTTCCATAAAACTGGTCCCCAGTACCAAAAAGGCTGGGGACTGCTGATGTAGACCACTGTTTCTATCATCTTCATTTTACAAACTGACCGCAGACTATTGAAAATAATTTTCTTTAGTAAACTGGAAGGACAAGGAAACTACACTGTGGCCAGGGATATAGCTCAATGGCACTGCACCTGCCTTGCAAGCACAAGGTCCTGAGTTTGATCCCCAGTACAAAAAAAAAAAAAAGGAGACTATACCATCTTCCATACCCTTCAAATTTTATAAGAAATTAACTATAGTTTGAGGTGCTAAGTAATCTGACCAAGGCCATAAAACTACACAGTGGTAGAGCTGAAACTCTAATTATAAATCCATTACTGGACTTTTTGACTACTATCATTTATAATCCAGTCTACTCATATCACTACCACAAGGTGCTTCTCTGCTGGTCAGCTTGTTTACCTTACAACCACTACCAAGAAACAAATCTCTGAAAAATCCAGGCAATGACACTGAAAGGCAGATGCAGTGTCGACCAAAATTGGGTTGACTCTACAAAACAGAGTAAAAATACCAAGACATACTTCCCAATAAGATTATGAACACAATTCAGCTAACTAAACCCTTGCGACCTAAGGGCCTCTAAGTTTTGTAGTTGTTTATTTGTTTGTTTGTTTGCTTTGTTTGTGGTACTGGGGATTAAACCAGAATCTTTATACTGAGCTACATCTTCAGCCCTTCTTTATTTTTTTAATTTTAAGACAGGATCTTGCTAAGATGCTAAGTTACCCAGGTTGGATTTAAACTTGCAGTCTTCCTACCTTAGCCTCCAACAGTGTTGGGAATTATAGGTATGTGCCTGGATTCTCTGCTAAACATCTATTTTTCTAGTTATAAATCTATATAAATAATAATGTCACATTTATTTTGGGGTCAAAGGAAAGAGAAACAATGAGATAAGAGAAAAATGGTAAATCTGAAAGAACCAAGGAACAAATGCTACTAGGAGAAATTATGATAGACTAAATCTCTAAGGAAAGCTACTAATCAGCTCAAACATCTCTTGATATCTTATTGTATAATGGACAGCATGCACTAGAAACATGGTTTAGTAAGATACAGTCTTGCCTCCCAGTTACTCATGATCTAGTACAGCAGTACCCCCAGCCTTTATGACATCAGGCACTAGTTTCATGGAAGTTAAGTTTTCCATGGAGCAAGACGGAAAGGTAGAAGATTGTTTTAGGATGAGTCAAGCACATTTCCTTTATTGTGTACTTTATTTCAATTATTATTATTAAATTGTAATATGTTATGAAATAATTATACTACTCATAATACAGAATCAGTGAGAACCATGAGCTTGCTATCCTGAAAGTAGACAGTCCTATCTGGGAGAGCTAGGAGAGAGTGACACATGAAGTATGTTGCTTAGGTCCAATCTACTCCATAATCTCATTTTGCTTGCTGTCACTCTGCTTCACAAAACTAAGATGAAGGAAATAGAAAAGACTTTTCTGCGCTTTTGTGGAAATCTCAGGATATTCTATCCTGACTTTAATCTAGAATGTATGGAGATATGAAGTTGTATCAAATATGCTTTTAAGGTCACCGCCATCTGCACTCAAGAATTCGATACTTTAGGCATGGACAAATTTGATTCCCCAGGCCTATTCACAAATGGGTCACAGTTTCATTCCTTCCCAGTTTGGAGATCTTTTGTGGTTAGGAAGTAATGATCACACTCTTCTGGAAGATGAGATCGGTGATCATTCACTGGGTGGGAAAAAGAAAGCCCTGGCTCAGTCTCTTGCAAAATCTCTGTTAATGTTTGAAACATGTTAAAATCCTCCATGTTCATTCATCACCCTGTAATTCCATTTTGGCTTTGAATGCAGCCACTTTATCTACTGACTTGAACACAATTATTGTTTCCTCTAAAGAGACAGACTGAATTCACTGAGAAGTTTGAATAAGTCAAATAGTAAGCAAGTTTTAGAACCCATTCTGTCAATGCAATGTGTTGCCAGTGGTAACTATTTTCCTAAAATAAATCTCTAGAGTGGATCTCATAATTCAAAATCTCTGGTAATCTATCTTTAGAAAGCCATCACATTTTCATGTATAAAAGAAGGCATGTGTGCTCTGCCTCTATCTCCTCACAGAGGTTCATGAACAGATGTGAGCTAAAGGCATGTACTTTAATGTAGTTGGTAATTTTAATCACATCCTGCAAAACATTGTTAAGTTCAGGTGACATTTTTTTAGCTAGCCAGCATTTCTCTTTTGATAATACAGTGTGCAAACTCACATTCTGGAGCAATCTCTTTGACAAAAATAGTGAAACTAGAGAGTTAGTCATGGCAACTGCTCCATCTGTGCATATACTGATACAAAATGACCAGTTAGGTTTTCCTGGCACAGAACCATTCAAAGACTTGAATAGTTTTACACCCGTGGTGTTGGCTGGCAACAAAGTACACATAACATATCCTCATGCACATCCTCCTGAAAAATATATCACAATAAAACAAGCATTGTTGCCTTGTTATCAACATCAGTAGAGTTGTCAACCTGGATTATGTATTGTGATGACTCACTGATTGTAACAATGAGTCTTGATGTCTTCTAAAATTTCATTGGTTCATCTAGTTATGGTAGTAACTGAAAGAAGAACATGTGCCATCTTTAGAACTGCATCCCTTTAAAAGTTCATGACAAATGTCCTTAGCGGCAAGCAAGATCAACTCTTTACCAATTGTAAAAGCTTTGTCATTGGAGCTAACCATTAAAAATGATGCTGTCAGTACAGACACATTTCATCAAGTGGTGGTGGCCTTCAATAATTATTTCTGGAGCTGGGGATTTAGCTCAGTGGTTCCACCACCTGCCTCACAAGCACAAGGATCTGAGTTCAATCTATGTACAAAATAATAATAATAATAATAATAGTAATAATTATTATTTCTGATCTCTGTGTTCATGTTTGGAAAAAAATCCAAAGTCTTGTCTTTTAATGCAAGATGTTTAGTCTTCATATGGAGGAGTATTTAAGGTTTCATGACTTTGTAACTGGTCGCCATGTATTCTACAAGCAGGCTTTGAGAATGTGAGTCACCTGTTGCAATGAAACTATAATTTAAGTAGGACTCTTGGTATTTTCTTTCTCTGTTGGCAGTCTTAGAGTCTTCTGCTATCTCATCATCTGTCCACCTTTTCAAAGATGTTCTCCAATGACATTTGTATTTTACTCGTTTTGCCTATGGTTAGCTTGTGAGCTTATGAACCCAGTGAGTGAGACAAATGGATAATGGAGAAAAGAGACACAAGTCAAAGTAATAAATAAAATAACATGTAGGCCACGTGTAAACTAAAATAAGTGCCAGATACTAACATAAAGCTTGCCAACAGATGCAGCTGTACAACTGAATTACAAGTCACTTGCCACTATAAACCCTGGCACCCTATGCAGCTTAACTGCCACTTGCCATTCATTGATAGGATTTTGATATGAGTCTGCAAGCAACTAATTTATTATGGTCTGTGCAGTCAAACACCTCTGCCAATGTTAACCTGTATTTGCAGCTTTTTCCCAAAGCTAGCATCAGTGCTTCAGCTCCACCTCAAATCATGGGTTCTCATGAGAAATATGCAATCTGGATCCCTAGCAAGCACAGTTCACAGCAGAGTTTCAAGTCCTGAAAATCTAATTCAGATGTTGATTTGACAAGAGGTGGAGCTCAGGCAGTTATAGAAACAACAGGAAGCAGCTGTAAATATGACTTAAGCTTTACTTGCTCACCCACCATTCACCTCCTGCTGTGTGTTCCAGTTCCTAATAGGCCACACAGTACTGGAGGTTGGAGACCCCTGCTTTATGGGACCTTACTGACTAGTCATTAACACACTATGTTACCAACTCTATAGCCTCTTTGGTATTACCAACTAATTGGAAAAACACTGAAAATTAACAAATGGAAGAACTTAATGTCCAACAAAAAAGAGAAAAAGAAAAGAATATGGCACACAAATAGCACAATAAAAACTGGCTTGTATTTTCAAAAGTAGCATCCCAATTCTGGTCTAAATAGAAATAGAATCGGGCTGGGGATTTAGCTCGGTGGGCCCACCACCTGCCTCACAAGAATAAGGACCAGAGTTCAATTCTCAGTAAGAAAAATAAAATAAAATAAAATAAATAAATGGAAATGGAATCAACCTGATGTCCAATTTACTTAAATATATATTATAAACTCAGATTTCAAGATGCTTTTACTCAATTAAAAGGAAGAGCTAATATCTTCTACCTCTTGGCTCACTTCCAGTGAATGACTGTGTCACATTCAGTTCCTCTGCCTTGGTTTTTAGTTCCACTTTTTATGTTTTCAAAACCCACTCTCCTCTAGCTATCTCTGCATTCATATTAGCTTTCTCCCTTTTAATGTCAGGATAGAGACTGGATGTAAGCAGCTCCTATGCTGACGGCCCCTTCACTAGATGACATCAACTTAATATATTTCACACTTATCTGCATGAGGCCCAAGGGAACACTACTGGCAAACAGACCTGACTTTTCTCTACACAGTACTTAAAATTTTGTTTTGTCTAAAAAACACAGCTTGAGTAGTCTCATACTTTCTTGAGTGGATGAGCACAAGCACAAGAGATCAGAATGATAATTACAATGCAGATAAAAATGATATGTAAGGTATTTATTGTATGTCAAATACCATTTTAAATAGTTTATCCTATTTCATTTCAAAAAATCACAAGAGAGAAAGGAGACAAGGAGAACTTTAATTCCTGATCAGTTCATAAGTCTTTTAACTCATTTCAAAAGTTATTATATGAGACTATGCCAAAGAATTTTAGACCAAGTTAGAGGAGAGATTTAAGTAGCAACAGATTCAGTCCTTAAAAGTTCAACTACATCCACTCTACCTCAAAAAGAACCAGACTACATCAGGAAATGAAAAACCTAATCAACCAGTGCTCTACTAAAGTGGGTGACAGAGGGAGAACTCTCACGTGGACTAAGAGAATTTCTGTGCCTTCAAAAGCTATAGTATAGAAATTCCTCTCCCAAGTTCTATAGTTATCCCAGAATCTGCCAAGAATGTTGTACTGTACTATACAGAAGCATGTCTAAGGACCACATCAGGCTTAGATCAGCAATAATATGGTCCTTCTATTTCTTACCTAGTATCACAAGCAAAGCAGCTACATTCAGCCAGTAAAAACAATTAAGACCTGGAATATGAGGAAGCTGCATGCACATGCACACACACGCACGCGCATACACACACACACACATACACACACACAGAGTAATTCCTCCTTTTGTACCTTCACAGAACAAGAAATAGGAAATAAATGCAATTCTTGTAAAGGAGAGTAAGACATAGTCAAGAGAAATCTATTAAGATTTTAGATTGCAATTTTCTTAATTAAAAACTTTTCTATTCACAAGCAAACCCAGGATACCACACTATTGCTCATCTGACTCTTCAATCTTAAACTGAAATTTTCTATGGACAACTTGTGAAATTTCTAAATTATTATTGCCAATAGAGATACTATTGAGATCTTACAGTCATAGGAAATATAGTCAGCACTATGAAAAACAGTAAGATTCTATATAAATACACAAGCATGTTAAGCATCTGTAAACAAACACTCATGTGCATGCACACTCTCAACAGTAGTATCATTTATCAGATGCTGTGCATGAGATCTTACATTGGCTGTTAAGCAAGAAAAACATGAGTAAAGTACCCCACATTCTAGTAATTGTGTGTCTGTTCTTTGATATGTTTACAAGTGTCTTATACGATCCCATCATTTGGCACTTTTTAAAGTTGTTCTTTACAGAATTTTTGACATAAATAAATTTTACTGTACTCACTGCTAAAATGTCTGCTTCTACAGGCAGTAAGTTCAAGAATGCAAACAGCTGGACAGTCAAGATGGTATAGACTTGTGTGGCCGACAGCATAAGCATCCCTATGGAGAGCAGCATCTTGTCTGAAAGTCACCTAGAAGACGAGAACACAAATAACAATGGGAAATGGCAGCTTCTTCCTGAGAATAAGTCACTTGCTTTCTTGATTCCCTAATGTTCAAAAATACCCTTTAAATTACAAATATGTGTTAACACTGAGATTAAAACTGATTTCAAAAGCCTAAGAATTTACAAAGATTTGGATATTAGGTAAACATCAAAGGTTATTTAGTTTAAGTGACTACATAACTTGGGAGGGGGTTACACGTTATGATGTATCACATGCACTTACCAACTCCCCATGGTAAATGTAATCATTATGTATTGTGAACATGTACTATAAAAATTTTCAAAAGTATCTACCGGGAATGGAACTTGGAACGTTGTGCTTGCGATGAAAGCAGCAGAACCACTGAGATAAATCTCCAGCCCTAAGCTCCATGTTACAACCACAAAGCATTCTCTCACAATACTCAGACTAACCAACCGATTCTCAGAAAAACAAAATTTCAATCAAAATAATGTTTAAAAACACATGGAAACATCTATAAAATTTAAATTTTTCTATAATTTGTAAAATGTTAGCCTTTGGGATTTAATATGAATAAACATGTAAATTTACACACGCATATTATAGCCACACTGAAGGACAAAAAAAAAAATAGCTACTCATTATTAAAGAGTTTGAACTTCTCTAATTCAAAAGTCCAAAGTACAAATGACTTGGAATTTGCTTGGTTAACATTTAGCCCTTTCAAATCCAAAACCTAAAATTCTCCAAAACCTGAAACCTTTCATAAGTTTATGATACTCAAAAAGTTTCTAGTTTTGGAGCATTCCAAATTACTGATTTTTTTTTTTATTAAGGATGCTTAACTGGTAAAATCTCTTGTCTTTGCAGACTTTGTTCTCATTTGTCTGAAAGTGTAACACGATTGAGTTTACCAATGAGCATTGATATATGAATTATATCATTGAATACCATCAACTCCCAATATCAGTTTGACAGTGATTACAGCTGATAAATGTTGTTACAGTTGATAACTGTTCTGTTGAAAGTTACCATGTAGACTCAAACTCTGAATCTTTGACTCACACACTGAAAGTGAATAATTATCTGTGAATAATGCTTGTCACAGTCATTAATACCAAACTTACACAGTCATTAATATCAAAGGTATTAAAGGCAAATATATAAAGTATAGATGTATTCGACAGAAACAAAGAATAGATTACTGGTGGACTGGGAGATGAGGGAGTATGAATTCAGCAACTTTAGGAAAAAGTCAGGGGCACAAAAGTACATATGATTGTGCTAACTGTATTCATCCCATATAATGCATTATTAATATTTCCACTTTATTAAGTATATTTGAAAGAAATTTCTAATTGAAAATTCTGTACCACAGCATCCCCTCATGACCCACTCTAGATAGCCAGCTGTCTGTGAGACCCTCTGAGGCTTCCATCACTTTCAAACACTGGGTTTTTTTCTTAATCTCTTTCATACATTGGGTTTCCATATATGATCAGTTTATACAAAAAAACAACAGATGAGAATTAATGTATTGGCCACATGGCATTCCTTGTGGATATTCTATAATGGATTGAAGGGAAATTCCAATTGTAGATATTTTACTTGTTTTTATTATAAACATCATAACAAATATACTTTTAGTTGAACCTACAAATATACACATAGGTTTATTTTTAACTTAAAGTCATCGAAGTGGGTGATGTGATAGTAATGTCAATAAGAAATATGGGATAGAGCAGGGTTTATGTACCACGACTGTTATGTAATTAACTGTGATTCTGAGGCAAAATACTTCAAGTACATATACTGCTTTATCTTTACAAGGAGAGTCACAGGACCAAAAGGACAATTCCATATAATAAATACAATTATGCAAGGAAGGGCTTAAATAGCACTGGAATACAGAAGGAGAAGATTTTAGATGGGGATATCAATAGGTGGAACAGGAAATACAGGAGGATCACAGGAAAAAGAGTACAGTCTGGTTAGTTTTAACTTAGCGTTTGTGAAAAGATCTGGTAGACATGTATGAGTGTCTAGTAGTGTTGATACTTGGCAGCAGCATTTACCATAGTTTTTATTACACCTCATAAAGACACTCATGAAAAAGGACTTCCAGAACTGCTTCAGAAAACGGCAAGAACAATGGGGTAAGTATGTTTGAAGTGAGGGCTGTATTTTGAAGGGGACTAATGGCAATGTGGTTTTCCTGCATAAATTTAATTTAAACATTCACTGTATATTTTGACATAACTTTTAAACAGTTAATTACACATATTCTGGTGCTTCACCTAAAGCAAAGAGAGATTAAGGAACATGCAACAAATACATGATAACTAAAATGCAATAGTTTTCACCGTAATGTAAGAGCAAACATCAAAAAGAGGAAAACTAAAGAGAATTCTGAAGAATATTTATATTTAAGAAGCCAAAAGACAAAGTAGAGGGAAGAGAGAGAGAGTCTGATTTCATAAAAGTCAACAGGCAAAATAAATGAATATTGAGGAAGGGAAGGAAATCAGCCAGGAGAAATAAATGTTGGAAAAGAGGCAAGAAGCTTTAAAATTTTTACATTTAAGAATCTGTCTAAGCCTGTCATGGTACCACATGCTTGCAATCCCAGCACTACAGAGGCTGAGGCAGGAGGATCACTGCAAGTTCAAAGTCAGCTTAGGCTACACAGTGGGACCTTGACTCAAAAAACAAGCAAACAAAAGAATCTGTCCAATCCAGGTACAAGAACTTAGAACACCAAACAGGCATCACCAGAAAAGAACCTCCACATGCCACATTATAGTTAAAATGCCAAGAGCACAGAACGAGGAAAGAAAGGTGTAGAGAAAGTGGGAAGGGTAGGGGAAAGGAAATACGGGAAAAGAAAAAAATATGAGAAAATGAAAAAATGGAAATAAAGTGTTTGTAAATGGGGAGGGGAGGAGGGGGTGAAGGGAGGGCAGGGACAAGAGGAAAAAATGAGAACCAAGACCTGTCATGTAAAGGTACAAGATCCCAGTAATGAATGTAACTGTACTGTATACCTAGAATGTACCAATAAACTCAATAAAAAGAAAAAAAAAAGAACAAGGAAAGAATATTGAAAGCTGTAAGAGCAAAAAGCCAAAATAAATCACTTTTATAAGCAAACCTATTAGAAAAACTACAGAATTATCTGCAGAAATTCGAAAGGTCAAAAACAGCAAGGAAAAATGTATTTCAAGCCCTGAAAGAAAATAATTGCCAACCTAGATTGCTATATCCAGCAAAGCTATCACTCAAAATTGAGGGAGAAATAAAGACCTTCTAAGATAAGCATAAAATAAAAAATAAAGAAATCTGTGACCACAAAACTAATATTGCAGAAGACATAGTCTTATATACTAAATATATATGAATATATATGGATGAACTATTCAAAATTGAGAAATCAAATATTAGTAAACAACAAAATGACAGGAATTCACATATACCTTTCTATAATGATTCTAAATATAAATAGCCTTAATTCTCCAATTAAAAAACACAAACTGGAAGACTAGATTACAAAATGAGACCCAAATCTTTGCTAACTGCAAGAAACATATCTCACCAGCAAAACACATACCTACTGGAAAACAATATTCTATGCAAATGGAATCCAAAAGCAAGCAGGAATAAGTACACTCTTATCCAACAAAGATTTCAAAATAAAATTATTTATAAAAGGGAAACAGGTCATTACATATTTATTTATAAACTATCAAGACACATCAATTGTAAATATATATGTGTGTGTGTGTGTGTGTGTGTGTGTTCCAAATTTCAGTGCTTAAAATTTCATAAAAAAAACATTACTCAATATAAAAGGACACATAGGCCCCATTACAGTGAGTGTATTCAATACTCCATTCTCAACAATAGATATGTCATTTAGACTAAAAAGATCAACAGTCACACTCTACACCAGAGATCAAATGAATTTAACAGACATCAACAAAACCTTCCATTCAACAATTACAAAATACACATTCTTGTCGGGCGTGGTGGTGCATACCTATAATCCCAGGGGAGGCTGAGGCAGGAGGAGCGCTGTGAGTTCGAGACCAACTTGGGCTACATAGTGAGTTCCAGTTCAGTCTCAACTACATAGTAAGACCCTGTCTCAAGCCCCGCAAAAAAAATATACATTTTTTTCAGCAGCTGATAGAACATTCTCCAAAATGAATCATATTTTAGACTATACATCAAATCCTAGCAAATACAAAACATTAAAATAATTTCTTACATCTTATCTAATAACAATGGAATGAAACTAGAAATCAATAAGGAGCAAATTTTTTAAAACTATACAAATTCACAGATATTGAACAATTTACTTTTGAACAATCAGTAGATCATTGAAAAAAATCAAGAGAAATTTTTAAAATTCTTATTATCAAATGAAAATGGAAACAAAACATACCAGGAATTTTGAGGTACAGCAAAGACAAGTTCTAAAAGAGAAGTTTATAGCTGTGAGTGCCTACATGAAAAAAAGAGAATTCTCATATAAATAACCTATGGATGCATTTCAAGGGCTTACAAAAACAGGAATAAACCAAAACCAAATTCAACAAAAGCAAAGAAATTATAAATATAAGCTAAAAATAATGAAATGACACTACAAAGAGCCAATGAAACAATGATTTGGCTCTTTGAAAAGATAAACAAGATTAATAAACTCTCAGCCAAACTAACCAGCTTTTGGCCAAACTAACCAAAAGAGAGAAAACCCAAACCAATGTCTAGTTAGAGATGAAAAAGAGGATGTTACAAGAGATACCACTGAAATCCAAAGGATCACTGAGAAGTCTTTTGAAAACCTATATTCTAGTAAATTGGAGAATCGAAAAGAAATAAATTTCAAGACACATATGACATACCAAAACTGGGCCAAGAAGATCTTTCAAAAAACATATTAACAATAAGCAATGAGATTGAAGGACTAATAAAAAGGTTCCCAACAAAAAAGTCCAAAGCTA